GATTGTTTTTTTATTATTTATTTCAGATCCATGTTATCGTGCATATCGTCTCTGTGGTGTACTTTTACATATTGGCAATCAACCGACATCGGGACATTATATAGCTGTTCTTAGAGATTCATATAAAAAAATCAATTTATCTCAAGATAACACAGAATCATGTACTGAAGATGATCCTCTTTTAAAATCAAATGAATGTTGGAGTGTTTGCAATGATATGGATGTAAGCAATTTTCCTATAGTTTATTTAAGAATAATTAATTAATTATATTATCTCAGTTAATCACCATTATTTCGGAAAGTAATATTGAAACATTTGGGGAAGTTAGATCCCCAGAACTCACTTGATAAAATTCCCACTTTTGAATTTGATTGATGGGCTGATCGGTCGACCTTGAGGTTACATTTCCCATCCAGAAAATCCTTGACTGTTTTATTGGTATTGATGTGTTATTTTAGTATGCTATTTTTGTGGCTCTCCCAAGGACATTTCTATGATGTATAAATAAAATCGATTTGTGCGCTTGTAGACCTCATATTTCCTTGGTAGAATACACTTTCTACACCTTTTGATATAGTTAGCAGGGTCCGAGGACAATCGAATCAGAATAGCCTATCGTGTCACTGCATCATTTTCTCTTCGCTCTCATTTTGTCGAGTAAGGTGAACTCGTCATAGTTTCAAGCATATCAAAAAAACTCAAAACCAAACGTAAAACACTATAACTAAGTGAATTCAATCAAACACATATTGTGTTATTGTTACAGTACGTTATCTAGTTGTTCATTTTTTGCATTATTTCATTTTGATCACTTTGTGTATAGACTGAATTCTATGTGAATGTGACACTTGTATGACATTAATCCGTTTAACAGTTTAAATAATGTTACGCTCGTCTCTAGGTATGCTTAAAACTATTACGAGTTCACCTTAGTCGACTAACGAGAACAAAACAATGAACCAGCGTCCAGGTAGGCTACTGTGATCCCTTGACCAAATTGAATCAACAAGAAGTCTTGATATAGTGTAGAAATTGTATTCTACAAACATCCAGCCAGCACACAATGAATCCAAGCACTCAAATTGCGTTTATTTATACTCTATAGAGACGTCCTTGGGACAGTCACAAAAATGACACAGTAACCAATCACAGCCAAGGATTTTCCTGGTGGGAAATGTGAATTCAAGGTCAACTGATCAGTCCATGAAATAAATCCAAAATAAAGATATTTATCAAGCGAGTTCTGGGGATCTAACATCCCCAACAGTCGACAATGCAACTCAATATTCAGATGCAGTCGCATTTATTCAGCATAAGGTTACGATTTTTTTTCAAAAATCAGATTCAATAACAATATCACAGTTTCAAACACAGATCCTAACTATTGAAACTCACATATTATTTAAACTAACAAATCATTCACTCTGTACACCAACTAAATATTTAAACAAACATTGTACAAATTATTGACTCATCAATTTCTACTTTAATGTTTTAATGAATTCAACAGTCATATTTTTTCTCTTTCAAGGTTTTCAGTATCCCGTCAAATCAATTTAAATTAGAAAAAATTAATGGATCAGCTAAATCATTACAAAGTTATTTAACAAGTACTGAAACATCAGATTCTTCATTAAACATTACAAAGTCTGATCAATCTTTGGAAAAATGTTCTAGTCGTAGACCAGCTAAAAAACGTCGTCATGATACTTCTGCGAATGATCTTGATCTTAGTTCAAGTGACTTGAATGAAAGCAACGATTTTACAACGTCAAAGTGTTGTTGTAGTTCTTCACAAAATGAATTATGGTATAGTTCAACTAATGCATATATGATATTCTATGAATCAATGGATAATTGTATTATGGATAAAGGTAGTAGTTTAATGAGTATATTCTTTCTTTCCGTTTAACAATTGATATTCTTTTTTTTTCTGTCGTTTTTCTGGATGCATTGTATAACTGAATTAAATAAACTATGGAGTTTATAACACTTATCGATTATAGTAAAACAGTCATTAAAAACCAAATTTACAACTTATCGCTTAATTTCTTATTGCTTATTGTTGTTACGGTTGCTTAAGATATTTCCCGGCTAAATCTTATTGCTTAGTATTCTTGACACAAAACACTGGACAAGTAACCCAAATCAAAACACGGTTGAACAGGAAGGATTGTATTCCAAAAATAACAAGGAATAAGAAGCTGGAGGTGATGGCGAAAGCCAAGGCAAAGAAAGCAAGAAGGCGAAGAAGGCAAGAATAAATACAATGCTAGTCTATTTATGGCCTTTACATGAGAAAGCTTCTGGAAGAAAATTCACGTAATCGACTGGACTGGATTTGACCAATCAGCATGCAGCTAATAATACGAGAATTTTCTATCTTGTTCTCCAAGCTTCGATCAGGCGCTGATTGGATAGAAATTTGGCCAATCAGCGCGCAGCAACGTAGTCGTGCTTTAATTCCATCTATGTCTGACTAACACTTACTCAAGATTTATTAAAATAATTTGCATAATGTCACATTGCATGCGGTGTAACACAGGTACATTCATCAGTCTATTCCATGTGTTAGCTATTACTTTTATTTTTTTTTCTATCTCTGTTGTTTATAATTCATTTCAGTAATTCCATTCATACACTGCGAAGCAGTAGCCGAAAGGTTAATTCTCCTTGTTGTCTGTCATTATGCAGTGAGTGGGTTTGAACCGCCTACTAATCTATGTACTGCGGTTCTGCTGACCGACTAGTTTCACATTAGTCCTGACATTTAGGATGTGACTCGATGTCAATCACTGGAATTTGTACCTAGTAAATGCATTAAGAAAATAATATCGTTCAAGAACTACAAACCTATAACCATCAAACTACTTGGTGTTACTAAGAATGTTTTAAAACATTTGTGTCTGTAGAATACTGAAAAGCATAATTTTAAATAAATTAGTTAATCACAATTTCCGTATAACAATAGTTAACAAGTGTTTTTAAACTGTTTTTAACCTAGTACAATATAAAACTAACTTATACATTTAATTCGTTTCATGATTTAACTACATTTTTTTTTCAAAAAATATCTTTTCTCTCATTGTGTAGATATTATTGTTCCTGATGAATTACGCCAAACAATTGAAGAAGTAAATTTAATTGAACAACAAAAGCATTTATTTGAACAACGAAATAAAGTATGTTGTTTTAAAAGTTTCTCTTGGTGATATATGTATATATGAGTTGATATAGTTATAATTCCTATCAAAACATTAAAAAAAAAACACGAAATTCAAGAAGGTATTCATCTTTTTTTTTATTCAACAAAAATATATTGCGCAACTCCGTGAATTCGATCAAGTTAGACTTTAACCCCGTCAGTGGTCTAACGGTTAGGGCGTTCGCGCCACAATGCCGAAGGTCCTGGGTTCGAATCCTGGATGCGCACTGCTGAGGAGTCCCATACTAGGACGAAACGGCCGTCCAGTGCTTCCAGGTTTCTAATGGTGGTCTAACATTGATCATCGATTCATGGTTTCAAAAAAAATGTGTAACTTAACAATCTCCACAACCCCGTAATGCAAAAATATATTCATAAATAGTACAATGATGTATGTATGTATATGTTTATATAATTTCAGTTGAAAGTTTTTTTTTAACCTAATGAATTCAATCAATATGAAAAAAATGTAAAAATTATCTTTTAAAGTAGCAATGATTACAAACAAATAAAGCATTAGTTTAATTATTGTTCAAATGTCAGTCCACTCCTCTTATCTGTTTTTGTTTGTTTTGAAACTTACTGTTAAATTGTCATGTTAATTACTGAGTATGGTGGTCAAGTTAAATCCTTTTATCTGTACAGTGAACCGGGAATCACTCTACAGCTATTTCGTTCTACTTTGTTACTACTATCTTAGCCTTGTTTATATCATCTTCCACTCATTAGGAAGATTTTTTCAATTTTATGCTTCATATATTTAGAGAAATATGATTTAAAGAACTTTTGTTTCTTCGAAGCATTACTCGTATGCTCTGGGATCACCGAGTAAGCAATTCCTGGATTAAGAATAGGGTACTAAATGAGAACGGTAAATTAATTAATGAAGTAGTGACTCTTCATAAACATATGCTCAACCACTGACTACCTCGATGGGTGGTGCTGTATGGTGTAGGATTACCTTGAAAGAGAGCTAAGGATCTCCAAACTAAAACATTGCACCAGTCCATGAAGTCATTGGCAGTTGGACTTAGTCATGTTAACAGGTTTAAAATACCTAACTGTGGTCCACATAGTTATCATAACCAATGGTGACTTAGTCCAAAATCGTTTTCAATGACGCAGATGTCTTCATTCTTTGTCTTCCTCCAAATACTAAACATCTGAATTCTTCTCTTCCTGTTTTTAGTTTATTTCACTTGTTTGCAACTTCTCAATTAATCTCTTCGATCCCCAATCATTTTCAACACTAACACTGCCCAGTACTATGGTGTTCGAACTGACAGTTTCATCCGGTTTTGCTAATATTGCATGGTAACTTGAACTGGTTCACGTACGTATCACGTTCTATGTTGCAACAATTAAAATAACTGATTTATGTTTAATAATTAATTGTGTGTAACGTCCCTGTTTTGCGTAGTAATATTCGTTGGTTGCGTATTAAGCGGATAACAGGTCGGTGTTTATTTACACCTACCCAGAGAAATTAAGATTATTTTATAGCTTTCGCTGTTTATATAAGAATTATTTTACGTTTTTTTTTCGTTTAATTGTTTGCATAACAATGGTTTTTTTTCTCTACTGACAGGTAAATCATAAAAATCAATTACTTCAAATACTATCCAGTCTGAAATTACCTGATCCTATCAGTCTATCACCAAATAATAATGATAGTCCGACATTAGTAAATTTATACAATGATGTATCTTTGATATCAACATCTTGGTTATGTGATTGCCTTAATCATCCAATGTTATTAGGGGATCCTTGCTTAACTGATGCTCAGATTATATCACTTTCAAAGCTCAAAGATTACATATTTCCTGCCTCTTTACCAAACCAATCTTCTTACTCATTACGTACTTGTCCACATGGCCATGCTCCTACAGATCTTGCTGCAGGTTCATACAGGGCTGTTTCTACTGAAGGTCTTAAAAAGCTTATTGAAATTCTGTTCCCAAAATCACTTGATGCTGTTCAATTTGAAAATACTAGGTATGCAGTTTTGTAATATAACGAAATTTATCCCTATTATTATTATTATTTATTATTATTCATAGTCTAGGAGCAACCTGTTTCGCTAAAAACACCCATTATATTATTTTTGTGGGATGATTTCAGTGTATAGCATTCGTTTATTTTAACATTATACTCGTCTAAATTTTGAGGAATGGACCTTTTACCAGAAGGCTCGTTTATTGACTCAGAATACGACGATGTCATAGCCCCCTTGGTGAAGACGCTGACAAAATGCAGATTCTTCTGACCACCCTAAGCAACAATGCAAGCATGTTCGGGATGCGGTTCTCACCCTCGAAATGCAAAATGTTGCTTCAAGACTGGGTTGCATCGGCACCTGAACTAGTGATCGCTTCACTTATCTGGGGAGTCTGATCAGAGTTGATCGCCTGTTGACTGACGAAATCTCGGCACGGATACAGAAGGCTCGATTGGCTTTTGCCAAACTGCGTCACTTATGGCGTAGGCGAGATATCCGTCTGCCATGTCAGTAATTGTCGACTACCTGGTTGGGGTCCGCGAGATGATAGTAATCGATTGTTAGAGACCTTGAACGACATGGCTCAGAATCGTTCGCAATGGCGCCGGTGCATTTATTCTTTGTGTTCTCTCAAATCCTAATCTTCTGGATTCTTCAACCCCTCTAGTTTTGAATTTCTAAACTTTTCTCATTGAATCATACTTCTTGAATAATATCTTCTAATCCTAACCTCTCCGATTACTTCTAATACCTTTACTACCTCTTCAACTATTGGATTTGAATTGACAATTACATCTCTGTGCTGATGTGGTATGGCAACATGAACTGATGTACTTACGTACGATGTTCTACGTTGCATCTGACTGACTGACTGATTCGTTCATTTTACTCGATAGGTTTATTCATACAAAAGCATTCTTGTATAACATGTGTATTATCTGAAATAAAGTTTTAGCAATAATAATTTTCTACTCAAAAATCTTACTACTCTTATCCAATTAAATAAATTATATTATCATTTTTTAATAATTACTTTTCCAGCTTTAATCAATTTCAACCATGTCTAAAGTGTATTTCCTTAAATATCGCTTTATTGAAAGTTGAAAATTCAATTAAAGAATTATCGAAAGAATTGGATTATTTTATAAGAACTAATCGTTTATCTTCTTCATATTATAAACGACTTCAAAATGAAGAGGTAACTACTGATTATTATTAATTAATTGATGAATAATTTGCTAGTATTATTGTCCACAAACATTTTATTTATTTTTCATTGATATATTTATTATTTGAGCCAGTTAACAATCCACATATCATCATAGTTCGATAATTATGGTAATGAGTATAATTTTCACTTTGTTGTTGATCAATAATCACTTTATACGTAGGATGTTCGGGTATAATAACTCGTCTCCCGACCGTAGATGCTAGCTTGACATGGTGGTCGGGCTTGCCTATCGTGATGACCCAACCGAGCTATACTGGGTGGAACATACGTTCCTGCAGGTCCTACCATGCCAGGCAGGTCGATTGGAGAGCGATGAGACTAAAAGCAGCTATCCAAGGTCTGAGGACGAAGTCGTACTGCTGACTGCAGAGAGGTTTGACAATAGTAAGATGTTTCCCTCGGACAACCAGCATCTGCTGCCTTCTCACAAGGAAGGAATGGTTAGAAAAGGTCGACCCTAAAAATGTCACACCTCACCCTACCTCACGGATTTCCGTCTCCTTGGGTAAGGGTGCCCACTAAGGGCCTAGAGCGGAGCTAATCCTCAAAAAACCTTTAATAAAAAGGCTGTGCGTGACCGGCCTGAAGCAGTTGTCCCTTGGACTCTGCGGTCACGCGCCCAGGTCTCCAAGACCAACAGTTATCTATCTTCTTTTTCAGATTCCTCCAGAAACACCCTTCCACGGTGTGGGCAGCCGGGAAATGACAACCACCCTCATACCCGTAACAGCACACGAGACCAAATTGGTCAAAATCAAATCCTTTCTACACCCATACATACCTCTCTTCTCTCCACAACTAACTCTACTCACATTCCCTTATCTGACTGACTGATAATAACTCGTTTTCTCCATTCTTCACGAAACCTATTTGAAATTGTAATTGCATATTTTATCTTTTCTTATTCTTGTGGATTTGATGAATTATGTTAGATTGTCGAACATTATAGTTAGTATAAAGTCATGGTTATTCACATTTGATCAGCGGTATTTTAACTTTATCTTAGTTCTTGAGATTCGATTCGTCTGAAACAACACACTTCTTTTCTGACAACGTGTCAGATCTTGTGAGGGAATTTGTCATTATTGTTAGGGTATTCATCCAATATCCTAAGAGCATTACTGGTCAATTCCTATTGGTTAATTCCTACTGGTCAATTTTATGGTCGTCCTAGATATCAATGTCACGTGCTTCAATGTTGTTTCTTATTGGCTACTTTTCGAAGTACCTTAAAAGGAAACTAGGTTATTAATGATATTGGCCACCTAAAAGCGTAATCACAAAGCCCAAAGGACAACTATTTGGTGCTGGTCATACCACGGTCTTTTTGCTCGTCGTTCTTGATATTTTAACGCCATACTAAGTCCTTAGCACCGGTGATGGGAATTTTCAAAGCAAGTTGAGGTATCCTATTCTTAAGATTGACCCTTTTATGATCTTCTGTTCTGTTGCGGAAGGCAGCATCACTGTAGATACTGGTTGTCTGAGGATTACGGTTAACTACTTTCATTCCTCTATACAGTTGGCAGTACGACTTCGCTCTCGAACAATGAGTTTGCCACTTTTCGTCTTACTACCATTCAAACGGCCTCCTTTGTTTAGTAGGGCCTAGATGCAACATATATTCAAGCCAATAATGACTCAGTTGAATCATTACAACATGCTACTTAAACTATGATATTCTTTAATTACCATTTGTCTGTTTTGATTTCACTGCATGCAAATGTAGTAAATCAATAATTAATTAATATTAATATTAATATTAATAATAATAATAATAAATAACGAAAATTACAGAGTTACTCAGTAAAATCGGAAAACCATATCCTACGTCGTTAATTTGCAAAATATCAGTTCATCATATCGAACTGGACTGTTCCTGTTGCAGAACATCAATCCATTGTCACTACTATTCATGCGTTTCATACAAATTCCATTGTGTTCTTCTAACTCTTCCTTTCTTGATCTTCCCCCATCTTCTGCTGCCAGACATATAGGTTGACACTCACGTCATATACTACTTATAAGTAGCTCGCACCACAGTATCACTGGTCACCAGGGAAATCCAAGTCTGTACTTGGTATAAATGATGTAATTTTTTTTAAACATTTCTTTTAAATTTTCTGTTAATATTATTATTCTTTTGAATTTTTTAAAAAAAGGTCAACTCAATTTCTTCTTCAAATAATGATAAAGAACCTGGATATTATTTAATTGGTAAGAAATCTCTTCGACAATGGAAAACACTTGCACGTCATTTCACTCGATCATTATACTCTGATTGTGATGATGAAGATGATGATGATAATAATTCTAATTCACCAACAACTAATCCTCCTCCTCATCATACAAAAACAGCATTTAATCATGATATTCTATGTTCTCATGGTCAACTTTGTATAGAAAATGCACGTTATTTACCAGCAATACTTTGGTATAAATTAATTGATTTATTTCCCAATGTAAAAATTCCTACATTTCCTGTTTATATTCCTTATAGTAATAATAATAATAATAATAACACTGATCTATCATCATCATCTATTGATTCTTTGAATATGCTTAATAAATCCGAGCCATCTTGTTCAGAATGTAATGCATTATTAAATGATTTAAGTAAACGTGCATTATGTGAACGTCAAATGCTTCCAAGCTTATTTTTATCAAATGTTCAACGTATGCGTTTATTACACTCTCCTAATCAAATAGAAAATTTAACTGTAAATATAAAAGATGTTTTAAACAAAGATGGATTGAATTGTGAAAAAGGGTAATTATACTGTTGTTTTTTTTAATCAGTTAACTAAATTACGATTATTATTATTATTATTATTATTATTATTATTATTATTATGGCTGTGAAACATGGCCAGTGAGAGTAGAAGATATTCGTCGGTTATTGGTTTTCGATCATAGGTGTCTTCGAAGCATTGCTCGTATACCGTGGGACAACCGAGTAAGCAATGCTGTTATTAGGAAACGGGTGCTAGGTACGGATGGCAGATCAGTAGATGAAGTGGTGGTTGAGACCTTGAATGACATGGCTCAAAATCGTTCGCAATGGCGCCGGTGCATTTATTCTTTGTGTTCTCTCAAATCCTAATCTTCTGGATTATTTAACCCCTCTAGTTTTGGCTTTCTAAACTTTTCTCATTGAATCATACTTCTTGAATAATATCTTCTAATCCTAACCTCTCCGATTACTTCTAATACCTTTACTACCTCTTCTACTATTGGATTTGAATTGACCAGTTGAGTCTCTGTGCTGATGTGGTATGGCAACATGAACTGATGTACTTACGTACGAAGTTCTACGTTGCATCTGACTGACTGACTGATTATTATTGATGCTGCTGCCCATTTTACGTACCATAAATTCCAAATAATCCTATTTAGCTAAGTAATCCAAATGAATGAGTGAATTTTCTGTAAATTTTGTCAATGAAGATGTATTATTGTTCTTCTTCTGCTTCTAGATAATATCTTAATTTTTTTAGCACTGATTATTCAATCATATACAAGATTGTTAATGATTCTCTGTTCTCTAGAAATACTACTTTTGATTGCATGTGATATACGTTTAAATTATGATTTTAGATAAGAAGTGTAAATTATTTATGTTAATTAAACATTAGGTGAATGATTGATAAGTATAAGTGAATAACAGATTTCCTTTTTGATGAGTCCCATACAAGGACGAAACGGCTGTCTTTCAGTGCTTCCAGGTTTCTAATGTTGGTGGTCTAACAATGATTGATTGATGATTTTAAATGTGTAAAAATATATCATTAATTTGTGTATAAGTTATCTTCTCTTTTTTCAACAATGTTTTCATATTTATTCATCAAGTTTGTATTGATCAGTATTATTCTTGTTCAAAAAACAATTTGCTGTCCATCTGTAAATTTTTTTGGTATGTTTCACATTCATGTCCATCTTAAGACTGTACATTTTTTTACTCTTTATGATTCCCAAGTAAGCATGCCAATTTATCGTTAATTGGCCAGTATATTAGCAATACAAAGTGTAAAACTAGTCAGCCAACAATTAAAATCATACTGTGTTAGTGGGACATAGATGGAATTAAAGCATGACTACGTTGCTACGCGCTGATTGGCTAATTTCCTATCGAATCAGCGCCTGATCGATTCTTGGAGAACAGGGTAGAAAATTCTCGTATTGTTAGCTGCATGCTGATTGGTCAAATCCAGTCCAGTCGACCACGTGAATTTCTGTCCAGAAGCTTCTCATGTAAATACTATAAAGAAACTATCTATTTTCGCCTTCGCCATCACCCTTGGCTTCTTATTCCATTTAACCTTGCTATTTGGAATATAATCTTTTCCTGTTCAACCGTGTTTTTGATTTTTGGGAACTTGTCCAGTGTATTGTGGTCAGAGAATAATAAGCAATAGGATTTATCTGGGAATTATATTAGCAAGCGTCACAATATACTGTAGTGTTTTAATTCATGAACATTATATTATTCAGTACTAATGATTATCACGTTCTCGTAATCATGCACTACTTCGTATTTCTTAATTTAAAAAAAACAAGGTCTTTAAGTCTCCTTTCACATATTGTCAACAGAATAGTGTTAACCAATTCATAACCGCACGTTCAAACAGAAACAGGTGGTTTTCTTTGGGGGGGGGGTGGCACCCGCTAAGCCTTTTACTTAGGGGTTTAATAAATGCAACTAGCACAAAACTTCAGTCTATGATTTACTGTCGAATATCTTCATTTAACTGACAATGAATTTTGATATTTTTGTCTTATGTGATTAACCTTTTTGTAATACATTTCCCATCACTTATCTATCATTTATCTATTTATTTCTAGAGAAGATAATTTCAAATCAGAAGATTCATACACTCGTCCTGTACATGCCAACAATAATGAATTAAATCATTTCAATACTAATGCTATCTATTTAATTCCAATGGATTTTATAATACAATGGAGAAAATTTATACGTAATCCAACAAGTGATAATTTGCCTAGTTCACTTTTATCTGGTTTTAGCACAGATGGTGTTCTATGTGAACATGGTCAGGTAAATTAATTCCAATGTGCTCTATTCAATATTCTCTATTTCATGATGATTTTGTTTGAAATGATAAAGAATAAGTACACTCACGATTACTCTTTATTTAGTACTAAACAAATAGATCGAAATGAAGTTCAATTATTTGATGTAATGAATCTATTCTATCCCATATAGTCTACTGAAAATCGATTAAATCTCAATATTGATTTGTACGTGTCAAGTATGAATTTCTTAAATCCGAACTAAACTAAATCTCCCTATCGTTTGATGTAGTATGATGCATAAAGAGTGAAATATTAGAAAATCATATCTACTTCAGTGTTGGATATATTTCAAGAATGGCCACATCAGATACAGTAGTTAATGCCAGTCAGTCAGTCAGTTGCAACGTAGAACTACGTACATATGTACATCAGTTCATGTAGCCATACCAAATTAGCACAGAGACGCAAATGTCAAATCAAATCCCATAGTAATAAAGATAGTAGAGGTATTGATGGTAGTGAAGAAGACTAGGGTTTGAAGACATTATTCAACAAGTATAATTCAGTGACATAAGGTTAGAAAGACAAAGGTAGAGGACCTGACGATTCCAGAAGATTAGGATTTCAGAGAGCACAAAGAATAAATGCACCGGCGCCATTGCAAACGATTTTGAGCCATGTCCTTCAAGTTCTCTAACCATTGGTGACTTTCGTCTCGCGGACCCCAACCAGGTAGGTAGTCTACATCTACCAACATGACTCAGTCCACTTGTCAGTGACTTCATGGATTTGTGCCATGTTTTGGTTTGGCCGCCCCTAACTTTCTTCCAATCTACACCTACACCACAAAACATAGCTCGTCGAGGCAGTTAACGCCATCTAAAACGAACGTGATCATTTAGTCAATTCAAATGTTTCAGTTTAGATCAAGTTGTTCAGTAGTAATAAGCATCTAAATAAGCTATTTTATTTATATGATAAGCTTATTTAATCGTTTATGAAATGACAAATTCCAACTAAAATTTTGTCTACATAGATAGCACTAAATAAAATTCTTGAACTATGTAGAATTTCATGTCTAAACAATAAAAGCAGATAAGCTTGTGTTTAAGGAGAAAAAATAATGATGTATTGATTTTGTTGTCAATAGTTGTTGGAAGTTCATTGCAATGTCAGCCGGTCAGTCAGTCTTTCATCCTTGTTCTGTTACTACGGCTTCTTCGTTCCTTGTTTTTTTTTTTGCTAAGTGTTTCTACCAAATGAACACAAATTCCTCTAGTCTTTCAGTTAGCTCTGTTCAGTCAGTGATCGTTTAAATAAATTTGCTGACCTAAACAAATCAATAAGAAATTCTCGTATACAACTGTATTTATTTGTATTGAATTGTACGTAATCGTATAAACTGCTTCACAACTTGATTTAATCCTTATTACTTAATTACTTACTTACGCCTGTTACCCCCAATGGAGCATAGGCTGCCCACCAGTTTTCTCCAACCAACTCTGTCCTGGGCTTCCCTCTCCAGTTCTGTCCAATGTTTGTTCATTCCTCTCATATCTTTCTCTATTTCTCGGCGTAATGTGTTCCTTAAACTTCTTCCTTTCCATTGACCTTGAGGGTTCCATGTGAGGACTTGTCTTGTGACGCAGTTAGTTGCTTTTCGTAGTGTGTGTCCTATCCACTTCCACCGCTTCTTCCTGATCTCCTCCCTCAATGGAATCTGGTTTGCTGTCTCCCACAGTAAGTTGTTGCTGATGGTGTCTGGCCAACGAATCCGAAGTATTTTGCATAGACAACTGTTAATAAACACTTGTATCTTCTGGATGATGGCTTTGGTAGTTCTCCAAGTTTCCGCTCCATGCACTAGCACTGTCTTGACGTTTGTATTGAAAATCGTGATTTTAGTTTTGGTTGAAAGTTGTTTGGAGTTCCAGATATTTTTCAAGTGTAGAAATGCAGCCCTTTCTTTGCCAATCCGCACCCTTACATCTGCATCGAATCCACCTTAGTTGTCGATGATGCTGCCCAGATATGTAAAATTTAATCCTTATTATTTGAAAGTAAATCTTTAATTGGTTTTTGTTGTACATATTCAGTGGATAAATACTATTGCATTTTTTCAGCTTGTACATTTTTAAAATCTCTTTTCTTGTTTTCAATTATTAATTTTAGATGTTAAAATCGTGGGAAGCTCTTATAAATGAGTCAACATTGTGTCCTGTGACATTTTATGAATGGGATGTCTTGTCTCATGCATATCCTCATCGTTTGAAAGAAAACGAAGTACCTTTGGATAATGATGGATTGGAATCAAAAATAACTTCCTATCCAACGATGTATTTACTTCCACAAACTGATTCTGAATTAAAGTGGAAATTGGAACCATCTTCCTATAGCACTGTATGCCCGGATTGTCATTCTGAATTAACAACCAGTGATTACGTATATAATCATGCCAGAATCCGTATACATCTAGTAACTGGTTTCGACGAAGCACTAAGTAATTGCGTCCAGTCAAAACCCACTACTATTCACGGTTCCTTGAATTGTGTATCACAGGATTCTCAAACTGACACAGAAATTTGTTGTCAACCAGCAACTGACATTACAGAGCCGGACAATTTTGATCAGGTTGGTGCAACACAAACAAGGGTTTTGACAGTCGATCGAAAATTAGTATTTGCACCATATGTCAGACTTTCAACCACAATACTTGAATGCTTTATGGTAGGTATACAACATGGGGAAAAGAAGCTGTAAACTTTTACTTTCCGAAAAGGAACCCCATGTTTTGTCAACACATTAGTGTCATAAATCATCTTCACGAGCTCTCCATATCAACACAATACCAATATCTTGTCCAATAAACTGTTATATATTCTGTCGCAAGTTGACTGCATCACTTTAGCAATGATTGTGTTAGTAAATAACTTATCGTTTAGTGATTTTAATTGTTTCTTAAAACTTCCTGAAAAAAAATACCCTGAATAGTTTAATTCTTGAAAGCAAATTTAAAAATTATAGTTAAAGAATAAATTTAACTGCTTTGATCTTTGTTCGTTGTTCTTCAATTTTATTAAAGCGATCAGAAGATGAATCTTATTTTAAATGTTTGATAATATATTAGTAAATTATATCTCAAACAATACGGTCACATATTTACTTGTTAAGGTTTTATGTATAAGAAGAAATAAGAGGTCGAATCAAACAAATTGAAAAAGGATTGAAAGGTAACAATATGAATCGTACTACCCTAAAAAAAACTACTTAGTTGACTGATTCACATTGTGTTGTAGTGAATGAGAACACAGGTGGGGCAACCGAATTGTATTTAACGAAAATTACAGAGTTACTCAGTAAAATCGGAAAACCATATCGTAAATTGTTCATTTGCAAAATATCAGTTCATCATATCGAACTGGACTGTTGTTCCTGTTGCAAAACATCAATCCATTGTCACTACTATTCATGCGTTTCATACAAATTCCATTGTTTTCTAACTCTTCCTTTCTTGATGTTCCCCCATCTTCTGCTGCCAGACATATACGTTGACACTCACGTCAGATACTACTTATAAGTAGCTCACTCCACAGTGTGAGAACTAACGACACTACTACAACTCGGTTACCCGAACCGAACCTAAAATTTAGTAGCTGAAAGTTAGACGTATAGATCAGTAAACCGTTGTTCCAGGCCAACTGAGTAATAAATAAACCAATACAGGGAAAAAGTAAACTTTCATAAAGCCTTCACACAAGTAAATATGTGATCGATTTTTTTAAAAAATTTTTATTATGTTAATATACTACTACATAGTTCTTCGCATTTTTAATTATAAATGTAAATTCATCAAGAAAAAACACAATTTTCTCAAATTCTTTTAACATGTTTATTTTCGTTTATGTTTCTTATCGTATAGTTCATGATTTTTAACAATATTTTTTTCTCATACATTTTCCTTAGGAAATGAATAATTTGAAAGAAATTAAAGATTATTTTAATAAACAATGTCATAATACAGAATTATACAATTCTACTAATAAAAATACTACTTCTACGCTTTCATCAAATAATGGAACTAGTCTAATCGATCAATTACCTCCATCGTCATCATCATCATCTGATCATCAACAGCAACAACAACAACAACAACAACATATACTCTATGATAATACAAATATTCTATCATCTAATCAATCTCGTCATTCACAATCTCCATCAACAAATTATGTTCGTCGTTCTACACGTCAACGTTTAAATCCTAAAGATTTATTAATTAAAGTGAATAGTAGTGATACTTTGCTTAGTGTGAAATTACAATTAATGCAAATTCTTGGTATTATTCCATCTGATCAACATATTATGTCAAGTGTAAGTGTTATGTTATGCACTTATAAACATATGTCAGCTTGTGGTATGCTTGAACTATTTATTACGAGTTTACTTTAGTGGGGAAATGAGAGCGAGAATCTGGCGACACGACAAGCTATTCTAATCTGATTGTTCTAAACCCCCCATATTGAGTAAAAAGAAGAAGACCTGATGTATGAAGTAGAACGTGTATTCTACAAGGATTCAGAAAGTACGAGGTCAGAGTCCAGAAGAGAATCAGAATCCTGGATTAGGGATCAGGGTCATAAAATGTTACATATAATTCGTATTTGTACAGTTAGGTCGGATAGGGAACAACATTGAAGTTTGTGACATTGACAGTTAGACTGACCATGGGAAATAACAATGAAGTACGTGACATTGATAGCTAGGACGACCATAATATTGACCAGTAGGAATCGACCAATAGAATTTGAGTTACAAAAATAATCCTCTCAAAATATTTGGTGAATATATCCTAACAGTAAGGTCATAATTATTTTTGTTAGAAATTATTTTATTTCAATTGGAATTTTGTGAACAGTGTTGCTTGGTTTTCTTCAACACCTCTAGTTTTGACTTTCTAAACTTTTCTCACTAAATCATACTTCTTGAATAATATTTTCTAATCCTAACCTCTCCGATTACTTCTAATTCCCTTACTACCTCTTCTACTTTTGGATTTGAATTGACAATTGCATCTCTATTCTGATGTGGTATGGCGACATGAACTGATGTACTTACGTACGAAGTTCTACGTTGCATCTGACTGACTGACTTCGAATTCAAATGAATAAAATATCTTGAAAAATGTTTGGAAATTCTACTGTAATCAATGATTAATTCAAGTATTCAAAGTTTCAATCATCGAATCTATGCGTAACCAGGCGTCGTCATCATCAGTAGTAGTAGTCTTCTCTTAAAATGTCCTACATAAGATTCTACTCGAATACTAAGTAACAATAAAAACTATTTTTAGATATATAAATGGGTGTTTTTGTTTTGTAGAAGCTTATTATCTACACAGATTTTTCTTTGGTAAATTATATAAATCTTTGAGCCAGTTTAGCAGATAATTCAAGGTATCGTCATCACCGAAGCTGCTACCTTGACGTGGTGGTCGGGGTTACCTATCGTGATGACCCGACCGAGCTATATTGGCTGGAAATTATGTTCCTGAAGGTTCTACCATGCCAGGCAGGTCGATTGGAGAACGATGAGACTAAAAGCAGCTACCCAAAGTCTGAGGGCGAAGTTGCACTGCTGACTGTAGTGAGGTGACAGTACAGGATCCGAGTAGCATCATACATACGTACGAAGTTCTACTGTGCAACTGACTGACTGACATCATACAAACAATAACTGAAGACATAAATTCTCTTAAAATAATTTCTAGCGATTGTTTATTACTAATTAAACATGGAATAACGATATTTCATTGATTTTAGTTTCTTGATAGAATAGCATATAGTTTATAATCGAAGATGAGTCCCATACCAGCGGACGAAATGACCGTCCAGTGCTTCCAGGTTTCTAATGGTGATCTATAACTTTGATCGATTCTTGATTTCAAATGTGTAATAACAACGAAATTTATCATCATATTCTAGCATACTATGCGATCGTTTATTTAATACAGATTTCTTTTTTCTATTTATATGTATGATATTAATTTCTTTCTATCTCACCTACTGAATATTTTTTTTCGGCTTTTTTCTTGTTTACTGATGATATTGTTGTAATTAATTATACGTAGACATAACAACTATACAGTCAGTCAGTCAGATGCAACGTAGAACTTCGTACGTAAGTACATCAGTTCATGTTGCCATACCACATCAGCACAGAGATATAATTGTCGATTCAAATCCCATAGTAGAAGTAATCGGAGAGGTTAGGATTAGAAGATATTCAAGAAGTATGATTCAGTGAGAAAAGTTTAGCAAGTCAAAACTAGAGGGGTTAAAGAATTCAGAAGATTAGGATTTGAGAGAACACAGAGAATAAATGCACCGGCGCCATTGCGAACGATTTTGAGTCATGTCATTCAAGGTCTCTAACCATCGATAATTATCATCTCGCGGACACCAACCAGGTAGTCGACAATTACTGACATGACTCAGTCCACTTGTCAATGACTTCATGGATTTCTGCCATGTTTACTCTATACAGTAAAGTATATAAAACTGTTTTGATGAATATTGGTGATCTTTTATTTTTCAGGGTGTAGAACTTGTTGATCATACAAAAACATTACAAGAATTAGGTATCCATTCGAAACAGATTCTCTATTTATGGTCAGATGATCCAACATGGGATCCTAATCGAATAAGTTTTGATAATGGTCTATTCAAATTGACTACACAAAAGTCAAAATCAAATAGTCCATGTAAATCAACATCGGGTAAGTTTCTTTTTTTAATTTCTTTCTCTAACTTGAACTCTGATCATTTATGTTATAGCCCATAATTATATCTTTAATTTCGCTTTACGCTTTACTCAAATAAATGATGTTTGTTGTATCGAATTCACGATTTTAACTTTCATTAAAATCCTACTTAGAATATACGCAGACTAATATGATAATTTCTAATAGTTTAGTGATGAATATAAATTTTTGAACTGTCAGTTTATATGAAAATGAATTCATTTTTTCGAATCATCATAAGGCCTCAGGTTCGAATCCAGTGAGTAGTAGGAGTCGTGGATACACATGGCCGATGAATCCCACACCCAGACGAAACGGCTTTGTTTTTAATGGTGATCTAACACTGATTCATTTATGATATCAATGTGTTTTATGTAGTAGTTGAATATTCTTCCTTAAATTTCAAAATATATGTCGTATATTCATTATTATAATAGTTAGTGATTCCTACGTCAAGTGTATTTGTGTAAAATACGTCAGTGATGAATTTATTCACGTGTCGAATTTTTTCAACTAGATTTTAATCGTAAATCTAGAAAAAGTGATAGATTCATTTATTTTGACTTAGCTTTTTCTTTGTTTATCAGATATAATCTGTGTATACTACTGAGTAGTAGTGTAGTGAACGAGAACACAGGTGGGGCAACCGAATTGTATTTAACGAAAATTACAGAGTTACTCAGTAAAATCGGAAAACCATATCGTAAATCGTTAATTTGCAGAATAATAACCTGAATTCATTATATTTCAAAACTTCTCATGAACTATTAAACAGCGTAAAATTTACATTAGCAATATTATTGCAAGAAGATTTTATTATATATACCATGATTAATGAAACACTGTAAGGAAGCGCGACATATTAAACATAATAGTGTTAAGAATGCTTAATGTTTTTGTATACTATAAACATGAAAAGTGAGTGATAAAGTTATAGATAAATGATAGAGTGGAAATTCGTGGAAATTAATTATTGTTAACAAAGACGTGGTAACTAAAGCACACGGTTGACATATAGATATCGGCGGTACAAATGGATACTGAACTATGTAACTTCATGAGTGACTGGCTGACTTTTGGTAAAGTTAAGCTAATCGAAATTCGTTAATATTTTCTTTGCATTACGGGGTTGTGAAGATTGTTAAGTTACACATTTTTTTTGAAACCATGAATCGGTGATCAATGTTAGACCACCATTAGAAACCTGGAAGCACTGAAAGGCGGCCGTTTCGTCCTGGTATGGGACTCCTCAGCAATGCGCATTCACGACTCCTGCATCCCGCAGGATTGGAACCCAGGACCTTCGGTATTGTGCGTGAACGCCTAACCATCGGACCACTGAGCCGGTATTCAACGGTGTTAATGTCTAACTTGATCAAATTCACGGAGTTGCGTAACCTCATACACAGTCTTCGGTCGACACTGTCCTGGGTTCGAATCCTGCGGGGTGCAGGAGTCGTGGATGCGCATTGCTGATGAGTCCCATACCAGGACAAGACGGTCGTCTTTCAGTGCTTCCAGGTTTCTAACGGTGATCTGACATTGATCGATTCATGGTTCCAAAAAAATGTGTAATATTTTCTTTTTCCAATCCTATTTACAATATATATATATATATATATCATTTTAATATTTCAGAATCAATTCCAATAGAATCAGGATTCAAGGGAACTCGACTGCTAGAATTTTAAACCCAAGATATTTTTTTGTCAACTTGATTCCTGTTTGTGTATTTTTTTTCTCTTAAATCCTATTTATTATTAATCAATAATGTTTTATGTCTAATATATTGTTGAGAAGATATATAGAACATTGTCCGTCGATTGTGTAAAAATCTATGATAATAATAATATTAACAATAATAACCCATCTATCAACTAATAATGTTTTCATGTTAATTAATTTATTCTTTAAAATTGTTAATTATTGAAGAAAAAAAAATATGAACTTGTAAACTTACAACATGTGTATATGTACATATATATATTGATTGATTGTATTTTTTTTAATTGAATCATTATTAATTTTAGTTTTTTTTAATGAACCGATAAAAATTTATATTTATATGTAATTAATTAATTAATTATGACTAGTTAGTTAGTTAGTCAAGTAAACAATTCGATCAAAATGTTTAGTTGCTTTTTTTTTTAATATTTTTTAAAATTATCATCTATTCAATCGAGTATATTCTGGGTGTTCGGTATGATTAATTAGTAAATGCTGTTTAATGGGATTGCATTAAAAAATAATATTGTACCATGAAATACAATGGTATCGGTAATCATCAAAAAGTTCAAACTATGATTTTTTTTAAAATTATAATTATAGGTCATTCGATTCACTTGTTTGTATTAAATGAATTATGTCGGCGAGTAAGCAATGCTGTCGTTAGGAAACGAGTACTAGGTAAGGACGGCAGATCAATACATGAAACTTCACTAGTTGAGGTGGTTGGGACATGTGTTACGTATGTCCAACCATCGACTGCCTCGTCGAGCTATATTTTGTGGTCTAAGAATAGGTCAGACGAATGCTAGGGGTGGCCAGACCAAAACATGACAGAAATCCATGAAGTCACTAACAAGTGGACTGAGTCATGTTGGTAGATGTAGGCTACCTGGTTGGCGTCCGCGAGATGTTAGTAATCGAGGGTTAGAGACCTTGAATGGCAAGGCTCCAAAACGTTTGCAATGGTGCAGGTGCATTCATTCTTCGTGTTCTCTCAAATCCTAAACTTTTTAATTCCTCATCACTTTATCTTTTTAAGTCTATTTCACTAGATTCTACTTCTTGAATAATATCTTCTAATCCTATTATCTCCGATTACTGCTAATACCTTAACAACCTCTACTACTATGGGATTTGAATTGACATTTACCTCTCTGTGCTAATATTGTGGTATGGCAAAATGAACTGATGTATGTACATACGAAGTTCTACGTTGCTATTGATTGATTGAATCCTAAATCTAGCACAATTGTTTATTTGTCTGATTCTTTGTTGTATTTGCGCAAGCAGAAAAAATCAATAAAATAGAAAGGCAAATAAAGCCATCATTAGGAACCTATAAATATATATAGTGTGCAGAAAAGGAACAAGAGAATTGAGAAGACGAAAAATGTTTAGTATTACTACCTGACTGACTGTAGTCGCTTGGTCTGCATCAATAACAGGGCCTAGACTAGTTCTTCTAAATTCCTCATCTTATCTCACTAAATTATTTTTCTTGAATAATATCTTCAAACTTCATTCTTCTCCATTACCAATAATACGTCTACGATCTCTACGGCTATGGGATTTGAACTGATGAAAGATTATTGAATCTCAGTGTTCTGACGACTTCATATTACTGTATGATAGCATACAAACTACTGAAATCACACTTTATTAGTTGGTGGTAAGCAGCGATCGTATACATTTTGCACTAAAATAGTGTAAAGAAACTTCGCAAGATCTGAAAGGGCTTGTTGTTGCATACAACTTTAGTGATACGTCGTTGAAAATGGTTAGAAGCCTTGAACATTTGGATTGATGAGTGTGCTTACGGTCGACACCAAAGTGAAAGCGGTATATACTATCATGACTCATGCTTAAAGCTGACGATTTTAACTTGGATGTAACCGTTGGCTGCACGATGACTTGAGATGTGCAGCTCTACAGAATACATGTGAGACGTATCCCATTCGTGTTATCCAATATTCAGAATATTGAGTTATCAGTGACATTTTATGTTCAGCCATTAATGCGTTCATAATATTTTGTATATTTAAACTCAGGGTGTCCCATGGTTATTTAAACATGTATTGCTTTGTTTGAGCATTTGATGTAAATAAAGTTATCAATTGTTCCTATGTTTTGGAAGCTTTGTTGCTGATTTACCAAATTACGGAGCTCTCTACTCTAAAATTTAACATATTTTACGAAGTGGTTATTCTGATAATCGACTAGTGTTTTGAAATTAACTGAACGAGTAGTCTAATTATCTACTTTCAGTGTCCATACTTCCCAGCTTCAGTGTATCTTGACGATGGCTATTAGCCTGTATGCAAATTGAGGTGTCGCAGGTTGACAGCAAGAAGCAGCTCATTGGTACTATGGCTATTATCATTTAAGACCTTAGAATTCCTAGGTTGAGTTAATGTATTTAGCTAAGTGGTAAGCAGTTAATTAACATTCAGCGCGCACCAACAAAATCACACCTGATGAGAAAGCTGTGGAGAAGGCGGAAATGTTTATGTACCTAGTTAGCATCATTGATAAGAAACGAGGATCTGATGCAGATTTGAAAACACGAACTGATAAAAACAAGGGTACTATTCTTACAATTTAATATCATTCCGATCTCAAAAAAGCTGTCACTAGAGATTTTCAATAAAAATATGAAGAGAGCCGTTTTGTACAGAGTTGAAACGTGTAGGAGTGCAATAATCATCAAAAAGATATATCCCTTATGCGTTACCCAGACATCATCAAGGAACGAACTAGCTTCCAGATGAGGGTAAAATTAAGAAGAAACTCCGGCGAACGATAAGACAAGTAAAGATCGCCAAAGTGTATCACAAAGAAGTTTCTTATTTGAGATCCCCAGGTAGAATGAAAAGAGGAAGACCAAAGAGCACATTGCGCTCGTAATTGCAGGCAGACATGAATAGCACTTGAGAACAATTGGAGAGTAGATCACAAAATAGTCGGTTGGAGGTCACTGGTGTATGGTCCACGAAGGGTAACATGCGTAAGTTTACATTAAGTTTGTGGCTTACTGGTTCTACACTCACCCTTGAAGAGTTACATTTAATTCCTGGTTTTATTTTGTAACTCTTCATATACAACTCTATTCTGAAACATAATTTATGAATTGATTATGAAGTTGCATATACGTACTAGTATTTATGCAAGAGTAGTATCAGTAATTTCATATGCATTTGTGGTGTCAAGCGATTTCATTCATTTTGAGTTATAACATCATGAATTTAATGTGTTTAATTTCATCGCTAATGATGACATATCAAATAAATGAATTGATTAGGCCCTGGAACTGTACCTAGAAAATTCTAATGAAAACAACTATCCTTAAATTTGTAGAAACCATATCAAGAGTTGTTTTTCTCAATACAATCATTTAGTTTGCAAATCGTGGCTCTGAACGTCAGTAGTGAAACGGAACCAAGAACGGCAGCCAGTGCAATAATATAATTTAACTGATCGGTTAAAGTATTACATTAAATCTGTCAGTAAGTTACAACGTAGAACTCCGTACGTACGACCGTCAGTTCAAATTGTCATACAACAGTAACACAGACTCAATTGTCATTTGAAATCCTATATTGCCAGACCATCATCCTGTTACGCATGTACGTAATCACGTCAGCTTGATATACTTGAACTATTACTAGTTTGCTTTAGTCGGTAAACGAGAGCGAGGATCCGGCGACACGACATGCTACACTAATCCGAGTGTCCAAACCACATATTTAGTAAAAATAAGAAGACTTGATATGAAGTAGAATCTGTATTCTACAAGCATTCAGAAAGTATGAGGTCCGAGTCCAGAAGAGAGTCAGGATCCCGGTCATAAAACGTTACAGATAATGCGTACTTATACATTTAGGTTGAATAGGAAACATCATTGAAGTCTGTGACATTGACAGTTAAGACGACTAATAAGAAACAACATTTGAAGTGACAGTGAAATTCAGGATATTGCATGAATATCCTAACACATCCTTAAAAATCTCTGGAGTAAGCCTGTCTGGCCCTGCTGCTCGCCCTCATTTCAGATTTCGTAAAGCTTTTTTCAAATTCATGAAGGCTCGAAGGACTTAAATTGATTTGCCATTCAGTATTACTGGAGATCATGTGTAGCCGAATGCCAGTTGAATTGATCCCTAAAGTGTTCTGCCCATCGATCCAATCACCTGGATTGAGAATGCTACTAACGACCATCCTTTTCCGAGCGTTTCGCTAACAGATGGATTCCTAGTACCAGTTTCCTTCATAAATCTGAACAGTAGTCTACCGTTAACTATCATCACTGCCTTTTCCATCGCTCCTGTTTCCGCTACCCACCACTGTTCGCGATGATTGCGCAGGCCTTTTATAATGTACAGAGCCAGACAGGATGAGTTTCCGAGCATCTATCAGTTCGGTGGATGCTACTTAGATCTACAGCTTCTCCCTAACCTTACGGTTTACCTTGCCGGCAGATATCACTGCTGTTTCCACAGATTTTTGGATATTATTCCAGGCTGCCTCGGATTCCGCATCACCTACATGGCTGCTTAACTGTTTTTCTAGTTGTTCCTGAAATATATTCGTATCTGTGCTACCACTAATTAAGACCCTAAGAGGTTCCCTTGCAGTGTCTTTCCTGCGTACAGTAAGCTGTAAGTAAATACGCGCTCGCACTAGAGCATGATCTGAATCTAAACATGTGCCCCAAAATTAGCCAGTCTTATTATATCGAGCCTCTCCATTTGTGGCTGACAGAGATTTGATCTAGTTGGATCCAGCGTTCGGGCGACTTCGAGGGTCGCCAGGTCAAAAGATGCTTTTTCTTGTGCTTAAAGTTAGTATTTACTAGGAATAGGTGCTTATCTGAGCAGAACTCCAGTAAACCGTCACCATTATCTGTTCGATCAGCCGCGACAACATAAGATTCACTTGGGTGTCTTTCCTTTTCACTGAGTCTACCTACTTGAGCATTGAAGTCACCAGCTACTACTACCATATCAGAGTGCCTAACTTTATGGAGGAGGTTCGAAAGCTTTCTGTAAAGCTCATCTTTCACATCATCTGGGCTGCAGTCAGTGGGGGCGTAGGCAGACACGACGAAGAGGCAACGGCGTGTACCTCCATATCTGTCGGACAGCACACACGGGACTATATACTGAGATCAAGTCTAGGAGAGCTAGCTCTGCTTTTTAAAGCAGCTATATCTACACTAGCAAGGTCACAGGCGGGCGGTAGTGGGACTTCGAGATACACCAAGAGCAAATCTAGCTGCTTCTTTATGTTGACATCGTGAGGTCAAATGAGTGACGCTACTCGGAACCTGTATGCGCGTTTCCGAGACTCAGCCTACATGGATGGCGAGAAATTCTGAAGTCCTAGTAAATAAAGCCTGTTGCCCTATTTGACACAAGGTTCGAACATTGAAAGCCCCAACATGCAGTTTAAAACAGGGTTTCAGGAGACCAGGAATAACGTTTAGTGAGCTCACATCGTTTGCATTAATGGTGTAGGGTGATAAAGGAATGTGAGTAGAGTTAGTCGTGGAGATAAGAGAAATGTTATGAGCTATAGGAGGGATTTGATTGTGAACGATTCGATCTTGTATGCTGTTACGCATATGAGGGCGGTTCTCACTTCCCGGCTGCCCACACCGTGGAAAGTTGTTTCTTGAAGAACCTGAAAAGGAAGGTAGATTAGTGTCCGTCTTAGAGACCTAGTACCGTGACCACAGTGCCCAACGGACAGCTACTTCAGGCCGCTCACGCACTACCTTTTTATGAAAAGTTATTTTAGTATTAGCTCCGCTCTTAAAAGTCCTTAGTGGGCAGGCCTTACCGCCGGAGACAGAAATCCGTGAGATAAGGTGAGGCGTGACATTTGTAGGGCAGCATCGCTGCAGATGCTCGTTGTCCGTGGGAAACAAATTACTACGGTAACATCCGTCCGCAGTGAGCAGTACGACTTCGCCCTCAGACCTTGAGTAGCTGCTATTAGTCTCATCATTCTCCAATCGACCTGCCTGGCATGGTCGAACATTAAGGAATTTGTGATCTAACAAGTATAGCTCGGCTGGTCAATCAACATTGGCGAGCCGACCACCACGGCCAGGTACCAGCCACGGTGTGGTGTGGTGTATTCAAATAAAGCATCAATTTCGATTGACATATAATCGAATATTGAGGAGACATGTACAGAGATTTATGATATGTCGTTCAACCCTTAATTACCAAAGTTACGCGGCACATAATTTTTCAAACCTTACCACTCTAAATCCACAAATTATTTATAACACCACATAATAAACCGTTAGTCTTCGTCAGGTGGTCGTAGAAACTAAAGCATTTATAAATATGTCAGAAGAAAAATTATGCAGAATATCCCAGAGGGAATAGGCTAACATATAGAAATAGAAAGGGGGAAAAACTTTCATTTTCCGTATCAATTTATTAGACTGACTGGTTACACGATCAATAATTAACTTTTGTCACACGTCAGTGTTCAGAAGTTTTCAATCCCTGATATGTCGTTCTCTTCGTGTAAAGATATAAGGTAGCTCAAAGTTATTCAACAGGATGTATCCACAATATGGCGACCAATCTGTATCGTAATACATTCAGAAGCATATGCAGAATATTAAAGGTTTCTGGACTATTAACATGAATCCTGTAAGTCATCTGAAAGCTTTCCACTATAAGATTCGGATCTTATAGATCGCCATGACAAGAAGTCGTTAGCATGTAAAATTAACGATGAAAATAGAAGACTATAAAGGATACTGACATGAACAATTAGAACAATACAAAGAGGTATCAAGCTATTCCGAACTTCTTGTTGGCGTCCGACTATGGCAGCCATAATCCGCATAAATAAATTACCTCAAATACCAATATCAATTAACTATGAGGAAAGTCGGTCTTGATGGATTTTGTCAAAGGCGTTTCTACAGGTAGTTTTTGATATTTAAGAGCCCACCATATTTCATGGGTAACTGACTGATTTTTCAAATATAAATAGCGTGTTTTAAAGCCGTGGTGCTACTGAGACTGACTTCCGATTTCATATAAACACTTAAACTGCTGCTTCCGAATAACCCTTTCGAAAATTGTGACCACCAATTTGGCTAGACTCGTGTATCGAATCAGTATTAAAGACAGGAAATGTTATGGGTAACATGGTGTGGAAAATAGTAGGCCTATAAATATCACATGCCCAAATAAAGAAGTACTGCCTGTTTAAAGAACCACTAATATTTGTCCTGGACCTCGTAGGGACGTGCAAGATTTGTCTTTCATGTCCAAGGAGTTATTGTTGAGAGTTAAAGAGTTTGTATGACCAGAAAATTGTCAGAGGGGCAATTGGATTTGTCTCCTATTTTTTACCTAAGATATAAATAAGGTTTAGTCCATTCTTGAACTTTCAGTAAGTCTTTATTACTGAACTGTTCGCACTTTCTAATAAGTTTTCGTTTGCTTTAGTTTCGCGCTACTGAGTCTTACTATTTAGACGTCCTATAACTCGATATTCATCAATTGTGCTTTCATCTGATAACTTAAACTTATTTAGTGTTATTTATAATGTGAAATGGTTATTCGTTCTTTAAGTTTCATTGGTAGCCTTCAACCGAATCGATAAGTTAATGGTAAATTCATGTTCGGTAAAGGTTGTATTGGAAGAAACTTTCCTTAAACGTAAGTGAACAATGTATAAGTACTGGTTTGAACATGTTGAAACTTGCACAGAAAGTCGGACTACGAAAAATGTTTACTACTAATATTAAAGTTTGTTAGACAATCAATCACAAACACCAGCTAAATATATTGCGAAGTAAAACGACGATTCGTAAGAAACAGCAACTATTATTTACGGGGATAAGAAAGACTGACTAGCAACACACTTTTGGTTAGTTGCACTTAGGCAACTTTATTGTCTGTAAATGTTAACGCACTGTCGTCTAGATCAAACCTAAAAACTCCAACTAGTGATAAGTTCGCGTTTGTGGTTTTTAATCGTAGTTGCCTAGTTCTAAACAGCAGATTACAGATCTCGTGTCGCAATATTCGAGCAATCAATGTTTATTTAGTCTTCAACTACAGTTTCTCATGTGAATGTGTGGTTGTTTAGAGACTTGCACTCTTATATTAGGTTACTTAGACCTACACATCATATTACGCTGATAATTTGGTGTCTTCGGTGACAAAGTCTTCTATCCTATCATCTGCATAATACAAACCTGCCTAAATAGCAAATATAAGTTTGGAAAGTAAAATTAGAAGACCAAAGACACCTGGTAAAATTGAGACTGAAAAAATAAAACAGGAACTGGTAGATAAATACAAGTATCACATGAATATACCGGTTTCGTTAAAAAGACTTCGTTATAAACACACTGCAATAACTGCCAGTATAAATAGGTAACTAATGTTACCTTCGACTTCCTTACCTTCTCAGATGATGAGAATAAGGTTATCCGAACCGCACCACCACTAAATCGATCAGATCGATAGGATTAACAGATAAATATATATATATATATATATATATATATATACATAAGGCCTGTAACACTAGTTACGGATTATAGCCATTCACCTAACTACTAGAAATATTAGGTTATACATAACAAAGTTTCGAAGTAAGCGATATGAGGATCCAGTGAACTGAATTGAAGTACTTCTCCAGTTCACGTTACACATTAGGCAATTATATTCATAGAACCTGCGACTTAGTTAAAATCGGAAAACAGGAAACAAGCTGCCATAGTTGTATTTATGGATAGCAAAAATAAATGACGTATTTACATTTAAATGAAAGTTTAATCAGATTCTGAATCGGATTCTATGGCTTCTGTAGCAGATAAGGATCTTTCAAGTACATAGGCAGTTTGTGGGTGTATACGACGGTAGTAATCATTAACTTCTCCAGTTATTTCGAAACCAAAACGTTTATAGAACGCCACCGCACCATCATTACCAACGTGAACATGCAGATAAATACTTTTAATTCCACCATACTTCAAACAGCTTTTAATGACATGTTTCAGCATAAGCGTACCAACACCATAGCCTCTATAAGGTGCTAGACATCCTAATGTCATAATATAACACTTCTTAACGGTTTGATTGGCCTGACCATTATTATCATCTGCAGCCATATCGACACTTTTTACCACAACGTTTTCGATTCTGTAGCTAACAGCCCCAACAACGATATCGTTGAAGTAAGCAAGTCTGCACATTTTACTATTCTTTAGAACATCACTATAGAATTTTTCTGTATATGTGACTGGAAAAACAGTTTGATTTATCAATCTGAATTGCTTGATGTTATGGGGGGTAAGCTGCCCAAGCTCGATCTTTTTATACATTTTTACGCCATTAGTGCTCCTACTTGTTTGTTCTGCTGCAGCATTTTGTTCCGAGTGTACAGCAAGCATAACTAGCAGCGCTCCGAGTTGTATTTCCGCTGTTGGGTAACAGGTCAACTTAGGCGCGACAGGACTTTCAATATTATATCTTTGTCACGAGCTAGTATAAACCAATTGATTTCTTCGAGCTCGATTCTTGTTATTTATGTCGGGTTCCGGGTGTTTTGTAGTGAGCATCAAACTTAGAGAACTATTTTTTCCTTGCAGTGTGGGGCAAATTTAGTGCCACTATAGAGAGATGTGGCTTTGGCTATGTCAAATCTAAAACCAATGGGCAAAATCTTAGTCACCTCAACTCACTCATATAATTCTTGAGCTAAGCATATTATTATATATCGGAAAAAAATTTAAGGCTTTTTACTAGTGAGTCCAGAGTATGTTCATGAACTTCGTTTCTTTTATTCATATATTTGAGAGCACTTTAATAACCTGTTACGTTTTGAATTTATGCTCTTTGACTGAAGATTTTAACGGCAGATACGACGTGGACTTTGGTTACGTCTTTAGTGGACACTGAAAAATCTATACACACAGTACCGTTTCAACTCATCTAGAGATTCATGCCGTTTCAGTTACCCAAATGTTTGATTTTTGAATATCCAGCATCCTCGATTCAGAATATTATGTAATAACTGAATAGATAATAATCGAGAAGTACATCTGCTAGTATTGAGGTAACCCATGTGACCGATGGCGGCATGAATTCGGTTTACCAAGCCCTCTAGCTTTCTGCCATAAGTTCAGTTGAATTTTTCAGCATTCTATTCACTTTAGCAAACCATGTTCTTTCAGTCGTAGAGAATTCAGTAGATTTTCTCTAATCGTATGTGAGTTTGGGTGTTATATATGTAAATTTTAGGAGATTCTGCCAGTGCTTTCTCCGGCCGAAATGCCATATTAATGACATCAAATATCTGCATGAAAATATATTTAAACTTCAGTTTCCCACACCTAAAGTCATCATGATTTTTATGGTCTAAATCAATCACGTACAGCCGACAGTGTGACTGGCCAGACGGGCCCTCAAGAAAACGGGGGGGGGAATAACTCCTCCATAGGTCAAGACAACTGAGAAAGGGGCGTAAATGGTCGTGTATTTTATGTTTGAGACGGGAGTTCTGGCTTGAACGTTTCGATGGATACAGATGCTGCACTGAGCATCGTACCTCATGCTTAGACGATTTATGTGAATCAACGACCCCAGTCGCACCTAAGGCTTCCAACGAAACTGAAATCACGACGTCTAGACAGAAAAAGTTAAGGTTGGATACTATCCCATGGGTCTTCACTTTACCTGACTCAGATCAAATAATATTATTGATGAACATTTAAGGGAGAAGTGAAGTTCTGATCGACAATAAAAAACGTCATTCGACACTTGAAGAAACTTCATACCACACAAAAGGCATAGAAAGCCACATCATTTTACTGAATTTTGTAAGAACTCCATCAGTAAAGACTGGAAATACTGATGGAATTTACAAACCTGACCCCCAGTATTCTAGAGGTTGACAGATCACCAGATTTATCGACTTTTTGAATCTAGACCAAACCTTGAGAATAGTTGCTCATCAAGGGTTGACAACGTGTCCATAAAGATCCTATGGATTTCTGTACAATGTAAAACCGATCGAAGGAAACGGCAGTAACAGACAGAAAAATAAAAAGTTTTGATAAAACTGACAGTTTCCGGATTTCAGTGTGCTTAAAAATGTCACACAGGTAATCTGGGTGTGAAACGACTGGTCTTGACAATGACAAACAATAATATGACTGTCAAGTTGTCCTAACAACTTGCTATAAAACAGAAAGCGTCGGAAGGTGGTTTATAATTTTTCTGATGAGTTGTATCCCGCTCTTTGTTGGAGTAATGATATTACAAATCTGGGTAGATTGAATTTGGTTTTGCAAGTGAGCAGCTGACCTATTTACCTAAATCATCTACTAGAAAACAGCCAGTAAGAAACAAAACTTTAGGTAACGGAAAATTATATATGAAACACAAGCAAGGGCTTGTAGCTTTTGGGACGCGGTCGCAAAGTGAAAATTGCCAAACTAATCGAAACCAGAAATGAAGTCGTTATTGAATAACGATATTTATTGATTAGAAATCGCGTGATATCAAAATGATATCACGAGTACAGCCCGTTACTCCAGAAGCCTGAAATTCGAAGAATATGCCTTAACTATTGTCTCTAAATCCAGACGACTAATCGGGTTTATAAATAATAATTTCTTGACAAGTGAGGCTAAGCTTACATTCTTCAAAATTTGTGTTAGGCCCTCTCTTGATTATTGCTCACTTATCTTCTCAAATGTGAATATCATAGACAAGATAAGAGTAGAAGATGTTCAAAGAAGCTTCACTTGGCGACGGCTCCGATAGAGCCATAGCCTCAGATACACAGAAAGATGCAAAAATCTTTCCCCAGAACCTCTATGGCCCCGTTGGTTGAATAACAACCTAATACTTCTCTATAAAGTGATAAATGGTCTCTCGTTCGTAAAATACCGTCCAATTATGAACCACAACACTGCTTACAGACGTCAAAACAACGCATATACACTATTAACGGCAAAACACAAAAAAGCATTGCGTTTTAATTTCTTTGTAATACGGTACAGTCTATTGTGGAACAGGTTAACAATTACTATTACACAATCACTAAGTTCAAGAAACTAGTAATCCTGTTGTTAGACTCTAAAGAGATTTATCGACTATTCCCGGAACTCACACCAAGTCCCGAGGCACTCTTTTATGGTCCACCAAATATTTAGATAAACCTTAGAAACTAATTACAGACTATGAACATATTATGCCCGCATTACCATCCATACAGGTATCACGAAATGATAGACAAATCCCCTTGATCATACTAACAGTAATAGGCAACGCCTTTAAGGTGATACCCGTGACTTTTCTCTTAATTTAAATCCCAATCATTATTTTCATATCTTCAAAGCAGTTTTAGTTTTTATTTTTCTAGTAGACAGACAAATTGAAAAGCCTGTAGATGCTGATCAACCATTGTCAATTACATGGAACTCAAACGCCCTGTAGTATTGTGAGTTACTTCTTGTTACAGCATTAACAGTTTAATAAATTTTTATCTCCGCAATACATTAGCATCCAAACACCTTGCCTGCTTACCAACATATCGCTTTTCTCATTAATTTTGAACATTATTCCAACTCTTTTTTTCTCTTTCTCTTCTTTCCAGCTCCCTGTCCTTCCTATCTCCAAACTACCTATTAACTGATGCATATCTTGCAATCTATACCAGTAGTTTACTGAAACTCAGTTTTAAATGCTACGTGGATATTTTGTCTTTCATGCAGAAGGTAAAATTGTCAGGTTTGCTTGTAATGTGGAGCTAGTAGAGAAAGTTAATTCCAATAACGTGTACAAAAAAAGAGAGTAGACTAGAAAACATTATTTACAATCAACCATCAAACGTGAGAGAGCCTAGCATCACAAAAGGAGGGAGGGAGGTGCATCTGACCAGCATTCATGACGGTGGGGCGATATCTTTAATCTACCCATGTCTGTGTGGCAGATTATTTTGTTTGCTTACGGCTCCTTACGATATAGCAGGATGTAACTAATCAGTGATATTGATGTTACTTTTCCTTGTTAAACTCGTCTACGACTCATATCCGTAACCTTGCACTGGTTTTAAATTCCTACCAAGAAATCCTATTACAAGCAAATCTGAACAGTTACACAGAAAAGGAGCTCATTCATAACTTCTTGTGCCACAGAGTTAAAAAGAAAAAGAATATATAGAATAAAATAAAAGCATGAGATCACTGAGCCTAATTATTATATTCTGTAAATCGATTTGGTTATGCCGAATTCCATTTATTCATAAGACTAAATGTCCATTCGTTACCTTTCTACTGAATTATCTTCATTAACCTACGTAAATGCAGGTATACAGTTAGTGTTCTAATGAAAAAGGTCTTAGTAAATATTCCTTTGTTTTATCCAAAAACGTATGTACTGAGTCATTGTTCGTCTTCGAACAAGAATATTTTCTATTCTGCTCCTCGCCCCGTTCTCTTTATTTCGCTTTTTCAGCACCTCATTTCAATTCTTATGTATTAGTTTGGATATTTGCCGAAGACTTGGTTACTTTACCCAAGGGAATGTAAATTTATCAACCAGTTAATGGCACATTTACCTCATCAACTCTTGTTACATGCAGACCCGGCTCTACCTTGCATTGTTTCACAGTCATTAAGAAGCTCTCATAACGCAGCCGTCGTAACTCGAAACAGTTGTTCGCGTTCACATTGTGGAGTCTGAAAAACTATCTTTAATGTTATGTGAAAACTTTTAGCCATCTTAATGGAGCCAATGTATCTTATGAAATATTTAAGTGACTGTACACCGTTTTAAAATAAATATGTTGCCAATCTTAACATTTTGATCTTGCCAGTAAATTGACATACGATCAAATATCCATCCACACAGATTCTAAAAACGTCTCTAAAAAGAAAGTCAGGAGCTAAAATTCATGAAAGACACTGTGACGATTTACTTCTCTGAAGAGAAATAGAAACATTCATCATTATAACTATTTGTACCGATGATTGTTTTACTGTACTTTTTGTCAATTATACTACATACGCTAAAAATTTCTGCTTTTGTTGCAGCCATTTCGGCCCCACTATCTCTGTAATTTCGCCCCTATTTTTTAGCACGCTTTCGGTATTCTTTTGTTACCATAAAGTCTCAGCAAATATATTTTATGTATGGATCAATGTTTTGTAACTGTAACGGGGATATAATTGGTCTGCAGTGACGGTCTTAGTCAATCTCAACAAGACACATTACAAAGCAATGACGTAAATTTGAGCTCGGACAAATCGTAACCTAATCACCGATGGCTCGTCAATAGCAATAAAAGCAAAGATTGACCGAAACCGAATACTAAGGACTGGGAAAAATGAAACATAGGGATAGGAGTCCTGATAAAAATCTAAGTATATGCTGTGGTTAGAAACACTGCCGAAAAACACTGTGGAGAGATTTTCTTAGTATTCGTTCCGTTACACCAGTATAGGATCAAA